CTTTCCCTAGAATACTTCCTCAGATAACTAACTGTGGGGGAATCCATTTTTAAACTGCTCAAAATTGTACTTGCCACTGTGTAGGACATCAGCAAGCAGCCAACTGGATGTCACTGAGGACATCCTGAATGGGATGGACAGTGTTTGCACTTTAAAAAAAAAATCAGACTGGTTAAAAATCAGACTGGTTAAAAATCAGACCCAAAAACTGTCAAAGTGGGATTTGCATAAAAATTGCTTTTGGGCACCCATTGCTTTTGTATTTTACCAACATATTTTATTTAACTCATTACCCAAAAGCACAAGAAACAAATGTATTAAATGGATGAAATGAAACAATAACATTGACTGAAAAGGGGAGCTTACTACATGTCCAACTGACCTAGTTTAAGTGTCCTCTATGTGTGCTCTATCCACAATAAGTGGACGCTAAACTTTGGAAATGTAGCAGCTGTTTATTTCAGTATAAGATGGCTTTGTTTAGCCTCTTTTTATTACTGTGGAATAGGAACAGAAATGTGAAACACTTGCAATGGATCATCTGCAGTGTGGTAATGAGCACTGAATCCTCTCCACCCCGTAAAGCAGTATGATTGTCTAGTTGCTCTGCAGGCTGATAAAGCTTCATGGCATTTATTGGGATAGATATTTACTGAATAACAGATACTTGAAGTTTTCTATCTCACTGCAGTTGTGTTGTGCGACACCAACAACACTGACAGTTTGCTTTGCTTGTAGATCTCCAATACTTACTAGCAGATGTGATCAAGGATATCTTGCCGCTGAACATAATGAAATTACTCCCTAAAACAGTCACAGATGTGAATGAACTGCTAAAAGGCAGAGATGATCCAAACATAAATCTAACTGGAGACCTGAAAAGCCATGGAGCTCAGCTTGGTATACTCGCCTTAATCCAGAGCATCACCCAGTAAGTACATCAGCAAAGTAGAAAGGCAGTTGTGTAGGCCTCATAGGTGGAGGAGGAGCAGACGGTGTGACTAGAGGGTGATTTCTCTAACTACTAGACTTATATCAAAGGTGGGCACAGGTGGCTCCTCCCTGTCTGACCCCTGTTTTAAAAAAAGCAGGGTCACAGCTGTATCTTCTGAGGGGGCTGATCCTGTCTGGTCTCCTCTGAGAAGACCTATCTGACTGAGCCCCTAGTAACTTCAATGGATCCGTCCTCCATCTAATCCCTTATTAAATCTGGTCATACTCATCTGCCTCTACAGCCCCCCCATGGCAAGAAGTTCCATGCATTAACTATTCACTCTGTGTAAACAAACAAACAACCCCCCCCCCCCAAACCCCACATCATCTTGTTTGTTTAAATGTCTTCTGATAATTTCAGTGTGTGCCCCCTAGTTCTTGTATTAAGCCTAATGTTAGGCAGCAGGGCAACTTTTGAGTCAAACTGGGAGGAAACTAGTGAATTTGACCACTTCCAGGGCTAGATGGTAGGGAATTTGGGGATTTTGTGATTTTTTTTTTTTTTTTCTTCCCCCCATGTATGTGCCTCAATTCTACGTAAGTCCTGTTTTAGGATGGACTTTATGAATCCAGCTGTAAGCAACATAGATAGGTAAGGCCACATGAAAAGCTGTAGCTGAATACAGTTTTCCTGTGTCCTAGATTAGTGCTGTAACCATAAGCTCATCCTCCCTCTTCCTCCACAGTTAGCCATTTTGAAATGTTCATTTCTTGTTTTCTGGGTGCTCTATAGTGCTTTTGTAATAATATATTCCTGCAGGAGTGCCTCCTATCCATTCACTGCTTCACTCACTTTCCTTTTACAGTTTATTGATTGTCAAGATTTACATCATGACAACAACAATGTCATTTTCACCTGGCAACAAGATTCACCTGTCTCTTCCAGTTGAGCTCAATGTAGAGGGCAAAAGGCAAGTAACTTAGAGGATGTGTTCTTAGCAGAGATGTAAGGACAGCGATGGAGTGATCTACCTAGGCACTTATTCAGCTTCCTAGCACCTGGGCATCTTGCCATCACAGGTAGATCTAGGTGTTAGGAAGATGTCATTTCCTTCATTTTACCAATAGGTAGCTAAGACATGGCATAGAGTGACTAGCTTACAAAACTACACTAGAAGTCTGTGGCTGAGTTGGCGACTGAATATAAACATCTAGCATCCTATTCTAATGCCCCACACATTAGACCATCCTTCTTACTCTAATGGATTTTCGTCTTGTCAAGTCCATGTTACTGCCTCCAACTCTGTGACTAGCTGACTCTACAGAGACACTTTCCCTTGATCCTATTGTTAGCTGCCTTTCTAAAGTCTCAGCTCCAAAACTGGTGCATGTAGAATATCCAGTACTTCTGGGTGAGGTGAGATTTTTTTATTTTTTATTTTTTTTTTAACCCATTCCTTGTTTCCTCCTTTCCAGATCAGTCCGTGATGAAACCATTTTAAAAGACAGGGATTGATGTAGCACACTGAAATTCTTGAATTCCCAAATCTTTCCAGGTGGAACTGGACCCTCTTTATTTTGTTCTAGGGCAAAAGGTCGTGAGATGCATCTCCCATTAGGGTTAGGGCTGTTAGTTACGGTTTCCTCCTGTATTTCAGAGAATTACTGTCATGTTTTGCCCCTTTCTCCAGTTTGCAGCTATTTACTGTGATCATTCCATTGTTATACCAGTATTTTAGGCTTCATACCAGCTGTAATGAAATTCCAAGTGCAGCTCAATGAGGTCATTGTAATGAGGACATAACAGGATTCTGTTTGTGTGATCAGCAAGATGATTAATTAATTGGCATTTCACCTTTTTTCAGCACTGTAGTGGGGATTCTGGACTCTTTGGTGAAAATCAGGATTGATATAGTATCCAAACCACTATGGGATGCCTCTAAGGACCAGATATTCATTATTGAAGACTCCAAGATAATTATCAAAGACATTCAGCTTGAAAAGCAAAAGAGGTGAGTCCTACAGATTTTTCATGTCCTGGAGGCAACATAAGACAACAGTTGGGAAAGGGAAAACTTAGAAAACTGGAGTCAGATATGCATCCTGCATTCTGAGAGGTTACCTGAGAATCAGCTTTAATTATCTGCCTGGACCTGGACTTGCAACCCATCCTCCAACAATTAGTACCCCAACAAAACTGGACCGCCAGGGCCCTAACAAATCTTGGCTCTTCATTTGCTCACAGATCTTCCCTACCTGTGGCAGAAAGAGGCCTGGTGGCCCTTCTTTGCCCAGTCTGCTTTTTCAGGGCCCTCAGTTGCCTTCTCCTTCCCTTGGTGCTCTCATAGGGCCAATGCTGGCCAGTCTAGTCCCTCCAAAACACCTTCTGTCAATGACTGGCTAGCTTGCCTCTTCCATTAAGATAGATCCTTGAGGTCACCTCAGAGTTTTCCTAAAGCCCTGCAGGCTTTTCTCAGCCTCACAGTGAACAAGGGGAAACTGTTGGGTTGTGAGGGAGATGGATTCCTAAATTCACTCACATAGTTTAAGGCCAGAAAAGACCATTACCTGTAAATCATCTCATCTGACTTCCTACATGACTCGGACTGCAGAAATTACCCAGCTGCCCCAGTACTGAGCCCAGGATCTTGTGGCCAGCAAAAACCTCACTTCCAGAAAGCCATCCTTTCTTGATTTGAAGAAAATCAAGCTATGGAGAGCCTACCTTTGCTTTCGGGAGTTCATTTAAATTACTAATTTCTTTCCTTTAGGAAGTTTTTACTTCTTTCTAAATTGAATGTGTTGGCTTAAACTCCCATACACTGGTTCTTAAGCCTTTCTGTGCTAGACCAAAAAGGTCATCAGAATCTAGCATTGTCTCCCTGGAAAGGTGCTTATACTCCATAATCAAGTTATCTCCCCTTTGTTAAATTTATTTTTTCTTATCCATTGTGCTGATATTTACTTTAGAAGGAGAAATTACTGGTTTTCAAAGATGAGGATGTTAGTTGGAATCAAATTAAAAGGAATGCTCAAGAATGTAAGAGGCCTCAGGCAGCCTGGAAGCTATTTAAAAGCACCATATTAGAGGCTCAAGAAGGGTGCGCCACAAATCAAAACAGATACTAGGCAGAAAAGTAAAAAACCTTCATGGTTTAATAGTATAGTAAATGTAATGATTTAGGTCCCAGTGAATAACACAACTATGAATGAGGAAGTGATGCCACAGCAGGGGGTTCCTCTAGCACAAACCATGTGGCTGCCTCTATCTTGATTTCACCTTGCCCCCCAGGGATCTTGTTCAAATTCCTCACCTGATAAGACATTCCCTTGTGATCTCCGCTGCTCCACACTCTCTCTAGGGAGCTCTGCCATAAGCCCCTAGAAGCCCCAAGGCTGCTGCAGCACCCACTGAGTTCGTGGGTTTTTGCTTTTGAATTTTTGGGGGCAGCAGGCAGGGGTCCCCCCCATGGTCCCCTCCCTCTCCCCCCACATACCACCTCAGTCTGGGTCCAGCTCCCTGCTGCAGCCCGTGGGGACTGCCTGAATCACCCAAGCTCTCCAAATCTTTTCCAAATTGATTCATAGAGCTTGAAATCGATTTGGACCTTTTTAATTAATTGGTCCCCTGATTCGATTTGGATTCAGAGATTTGGCTACCAAATCAGCAGCTGAAACTTTGCACAGCCCTACAGGAAACCAGCCAGACATTTAGTGGCACCATTAGATGGCCAGAATCATAGTCGAGAAGCTAAATCAATTCCTTGCATCAGTCTTTATTACAGAGGATATTGTGGAGAGTCAATTCTTGTCCACGGGATCAATTCTTCTTAGATAAATATGAAGAGTTAAGTCCATTTTAAGTGACAGTAGTGGAAGTTTTAGAACAAATTGATAAATTAAACACTAATAAATCATTAGGATTAAATGGTCTTTCCCTGAGAGTTCTGAAACTCAAACATGAAATTGCAGTACTGTAAATTGCAAACAAACTGTAAACAGAAATTGCAGAACCACATGTAACCTATTGTTACAAACAGCCCCTGCACCAGAGAGCTGGCAGCTTGCTAACATAACACCCATTTTCAGAGAGGTCTCCAGGGGTGATCCTGGGACCTACAGATCACTAATAACACTCTGCAGTTGCATGCGAGTCAGAACTTGTGCTAATACACTACTGTGTGGTAGTATTAGGCTACTGTGCAGTTAATGTCTGAAAAAACCTGCGTGCCAGCACTACTGCACAGTAACACAAGTCATTGTTCATTGATTTAGTAGTTGGTTAGCCGAGTACTAAACTTAATGTGCAGTAACTATGGCTCATTAATGAACATGTAGATGCACCCAATGAGTCTCATATTTATCCCTGGCCAATTGGCAGACTCTGTAATAAAGAATAAAATTAGAAGCAACATAGAAAAATATGATATGCTGTGAATGAGTCAGCATGGTTTTTGTAAAGGGAGAACCTGTCTCGCCAATCTGCTGGAGCTGTATGAGGGTGTTAATGAAGGTGTGGGCAGCATTTTTTTAAAATTATATTTTATTCCCTGAAAATGCAGTTTTGAGGCAACCAAAAGTACTCATCAATTCAAGGTGAATTCAGCAAATCGGAAAAAATCTAAATGTTTTGTATCTACATTGTAATACTTTTTGTTTTGAGCTGATATTTCAAAACCAAGTTTAGCCAAATATAATGCTTTAAAAAAAGAAAAACATGTTTAATTTCATGTGATACAAAATGCTTGGTTCATTTTGACAAGAAAGCTGAAACATTTTTCATTTCAGATCAGCCCCAAGGGATTTATTTATTGTGTTTTTTCTAATTAGGCACTAACCTGGATGGCCACTTGTGTCCATAGCCCCCACCCCTGTTCCTCTGCATTGCCTCTAACAGATCTACAGCCTCAAAAAAAAATAAAAAAAAAGCCAGCTCTGTACCATCTCCTCTGTATCCTCTCTTATGACAATGCTTGCTGCACCCTCTCTAACTAGGTGGTCATGTCTAGCACAGTATCAAGTTCACCTCCCCCCCGCATAGTCAAAACTCAGTTGAATTATAGTCAAACTGCCCAAAATGTTCACTTGTGGAGGCTATGCAATGAAAATGCAGATAAGTGCATCTTATTGGTTTCTGCCTCTGGTTCATCAGTACATAATGTCTGTCCTAGAGCTTCAAACCTGCCACAGACTGACAGTAACATTGATCCTCCCCAAACGGTAGGAAATGGTAGAATAGAGCAGGGGCAAGAGACTGCCTGTTCACTGAACCAGATAGTTTGTTCTATGATACTTCACAAGTAAAACCCCTGGCCAAGTCTAAGTGTGGTATCTGTATTTCCCCTCCTACCTAACCTAAGCTTCAATGTCATGTTTTCCTCAGCACAACTGATCCTGCTGAGCAGGAAATTCGGGCTGCCCTCTGGACAATCATGATCGATGTGGTAAGTCAGCCGACAGTACATGTATCCAGTTAGCTGCTTGCTTTAATCCAAGGTATTGAATGGAATTAATTATGGGGTTTGGGGGCTGGATTACTCCAGGTGTGGTGGAAGTGAGAGAGGGAATCTTTCAGCTCAGTGACTCCAGTGTGAATACAGGCTGAGGGATGTGGGGGGGCGAGGGAGAGTCAGGTTGTTATGCTCTGGTTACTGTTCAGTGGGGGATAAACCCTCCATGCTACAGTGCTGCCATGAGAACCTTGCATGTATTAAACAGGATTTGGGCTTGACAGAGACATGGAGGCAAACAGAGAGCAGAGCAATTTAGAGAAGCAGTTAAGCCTATGGTACTAAGCGGAGTTGGGCTCTATTCCTAGCTCTCCCTGTGAGTCATTCATTTCATCGCTGTTTCCATTCTGTCCTTCTGCTTAGAACATGAGCTTTTTGGGGGGCAAGGACTATCTATTATTAGTGTTTGCACAAATTGGGCCCTCCTGGCTATAGGACTCCAGGTGCTACTGAAATGCAAATAACAATAATTTCTGAGAAAAACATTGAGGGCAGAATCCTATTTCATTTTACGTATCTAAATTGTAGGGGCATAACTGCCATTTATGGCACTTACACATAGCTTGTACTCTTACTCCACATGCAGTTTAGATACATAGGCATCCACACCGCTGCTGAGCGTGGGCAGTAGGCTGCCTTTTGGCTAGACAGATACAGAAGTGCTGTGTGTATCTGCCCTGAGCAACACAAGTTGCAAAAATGTTCATGGCAAGAGCCTATTACTTGTGGGTATTAAATACAGGAAAAGGAGGTCACCCCCACATCTGAGCCTATGAGCAAGGGCAATTACTTAGGAAGCAGGAGATGGAGGGTCAAGGCCCCTTCACTCAGAGCAGATTTGAATCTACATTATCTCTAACTTCCCAGCACAGTGCTCCAGTGCTTGAACCCAGTCATTAAACTATGTCCACGGAGTCCGGAAAAGATTTACTATGATCACACAAAAGTATGTGAATACCTACACTTACAATTCAAAGCTGTCCACATCTCCATCTGAAATTTCCAAAGGGGTCCACACTGCTCCTTGAAAATTTTAGGGGTCCACAAATGAAAAAAGGTTGAAAACCACTGCTCTAACCAACAGGTCACAGATCAGGCATCAGTCAACTCTTCCTCCTCAGCCAGCCTCTTGAAGGGGGTCCCCTGGGAAGCCAAAACAGTGAGAAATGTGGGGACAGGAGAATATGAGTAAGCTTGAGGGCATGTTTACCTAAGTGAAGTAAATGGCCCTCAGGAAGGGAGGGGACTCCAGGGTCTACCCTGTACCCTTGCTCCCACTGGGGCAGAAACTTCTCCAGTGATCTCGGTCCAATAAATATTAAACACAAGGTGCAGGAAAGACTGTCCTCCTGAGTGCTTTTTTTTTTATAGGCCTTATGTTTGGGTACAGAGCTGCTTATTTGCCTGGCCAGAGCACAGCTGACTGAGGATGAGCTCCTACTCATCCTTACTACACATGGAGTGGGATCATACACTGTACATAAGTGCCAAAGATGGCAGCTATGTGGATGGGCAAGTGTCATTAGGAAGTGTGGCTGAAATAGGGTTTTGCCCTGAATCCATCTCCTCCACTGTTGTGCTGGAAATACTGAATAAAAATAGTTTCCCACCCCAGGAAGAGCCCTCTACTCACATCAGTCCATTATCTCAGCTGGGATCTTTTGTTAAAGAAGGCACCAGATCAGAAAAATTCCCCCTTGTTCCCTTCCCCCTTGCTGCCTCTGGGCCTCCTCTGTGTCATGGGTCTGTGTTCTCTCTTACAGATTAACCGGTGCATTCGACTGGTTGCTGACATCCTCAATACATCATTTTTGAGCACGATGGTTTGTGAGTTAAAGCTATTGTCCCCTCCTCCAGGATCTCTGATTCTACCTCCCTAGGCTTTGTAACTGGCTACAGGAGCTGATTCTTGCAGCATAAAAATGTTCATATTGGGTGAATACTACCCTTGGGCACTGGCTCCATGCAGAGCCTATGAATCACTTGAATCTGATTTTAAGGGCTCACACCTGCTCTGAACATGAAGCAGTCAGGGTTGAAGCTGAGATCACAAACATGAATACAGGACAGATCTGCTCCCAAGCAGGAAGACATGGATCTTTAGTGATAAGAATCCTTGGTGTTTGATTGAGAGAACTCAGAGAAGTCCATAAAGATATAGCCTGTTACAGGTCAGATTTCTGGACCCTGCATTTCCCCAGGTACAATGCTTGTGTTTAAGTAGATGACCTTTCTTTTTCCTTTGAAGCTGCTGTCCCGGTTGGAACATTTGGAAGTATCCAGTACAATCTACTGGGCTCCCCATATGTGACCGATAGGTACTTTGAAATACCTTATCAAGTAAGTGCTGTTCTTGGCTGCTGTTACTGAACCTCAGAGGGCAGGATGTTTTGTACAATTGCTTATCGTTCTCTACCCTGGTGATTAGTCCTATGACGAACATCCTCCCCTGCTGCAGTCTTGAAAAATGCACCTTGTGGCAGGCCTGAGTCTGTCCAGCAGGAGGCTTTGAGTGTAGCCCCTGCTCTGTGATGCTTGTTGTCCCAAGTCTTTGTTCCTGGAACTACATTAGCACCAATTTTAGTTTGTTTATTTGGTGGCCCCCTGGTTCCTGAGTGGACAAATTACCTAGAATTGGTCAAACAAAAGGGAACCCAAGCCAAACAGCCCTTTGAAGAGCATGGTTACAACCAATGGCACACAGGGGAGTGATGTAGCTGATAGCCAGGGATCCTGATTTTCTCCGTTTAAAAATAGCAAGTTCTCTGATTAAACCCCCCAAAATCTGTGATTAAAATGAAACACCACTAATATATGTGTGTGTATATGTGGGTGTATGAATATGTATAGGGGTGTGTGTGTGTGTGTGTGTAATATATATATATATACACACACACACACACACACACATATATGTATAATGCATGTGTGTGTATATGTATGTGTATATATACACATATATGTGTGTGTATGTATATCTAGCTATATGTGTGTGTATGTATATGTGTGTATACATATATATACATACACATATACATCTGGGTTCCTTCTTTAGCTACATAGGGAACAGGAGGAAAACAAATGGGAGCATGGGGCCATTGCTCAACAATTCAGAAGAGCTGGTTACCTGCACCCAAGAGAAAGCTGAACTCCTGAATGACTATTTTGCCTCAGTCTTTCCCCGGACCAAGGGGAAAACCATGCCAGGTAGAGGAGAGGATGAGCATGGTAGAAATAATCGCCTTCCTACTATTGCCGTAGAATTGGTGTATGACCAGTTAATAAAATTAGATGTATACAAGTCAGCAGGACCGGATGATCTTCATCCAAGAGTGCTGAAGGAGCTTGTTACCAGATTAGCCCAACACTTTGGGGTGTGCTTATTTATTAAGGATATTTTTCTAGGGTCTTTGTAACTCTGTCAATGTGCTGCTTGTGTACTAGTGTTTGTGTACGGAGCTGTATATCTCCCTTCTGCAAGTCCTCACCGCCAATGGAGCTATCTTGCAGGACTTGGTTTCAATGGGGCTGGGTTTCTCCAGTCACCAAATCAGTCATACATGTACAAATTAATGTGACACGCCTGACCCATCTGGGTTGATCAGCATGGACAGGCTGACACCCTCATATGCCAGGATTCAGTTAATTAAGGTAACAATAAAATGCAGTCAGACACAAGCACACAGGTAAACAGAATACCTCTGAATCCGGCTGGGTGTCCAGCTGACACCCTCATGGGCCATCATTCAGTTCATTAGGGCATGTCTGAACCAAACTAGGTCAATTGGCCTATACAAGTGGATCCCCTTATGTGTTTCAAACTCAGCATGTCCCAATCTTTTGCCCTAACTGTCCTAGTAGTGGTAGCCTCTTGATGAGCAGACCCCACAGTATTTCTGGGCTTCACAGGGATCTTTAGCTTAGGTAAAAGAGGCGTTGCTGCAGAGCAAGTGGGGAAGGAGAAGTAAAGGAGGAAACATACACCCGGTTATTACCAGTTTGACTATAAAAGTTATTTATTGCTAAATATATGAAATGTAGAATGGCACTAGTAATAATAGACATGCAAAGGAAAACAATCAAAACAATTACAATACTACTCTGGTTTCACTGAGTATTTGGGGAAACTTAGCTCAAGCTTAACTAATACAATCCAGGTTCAGAAATCTATGCCTAGAGAGAAGAGAAAGAGAGAGAGCGAGAGGTGGGGTCTCACCAGTCCAAGGCACTTGGGTTCCCATGCTGACAGGTAATGTTCTTAGCATAATCCTTGAAGGGAAACAATCTGTTTCTTCCAGCTTCTCCAGAACAACAGTGGATGGTGTCAGAGAGATTTCTCTTGAAGCATACAGGTTGCTGCTTTTAAAGATGTTTATACTCTCAGTTCAGCTTCTTCAAAGCATTCGTTTAATTGTATAAATTATTGTCTTTTCTATTGACAAGGGGTTATCTGGTTTGGAACATCTCAAGAAACTGATCAATAACCAGGAAAACATAAGGTTAAGGAGTAACCAGACACTTAGGAGCCAGCTTGAAATTCTTATGCATAGCAGATATACTGGATGGGATACCTCATTGTTTCTTCAGAAACAATAGGTAGCTTGCAGCGTCAGGGTTTTGTATTTTTACCTGTTGTGAACAGGCCTCAGCTTAGTATGACTTTTCCAGATCTTACTGTAGTCTTTTAACAGACTTAAGGGAATTATTGGAGTGTCCATAAACTTTGTGGGGAGGACTTCCACCAGTCATCCCGGAAAAAGTATGACAGCATTTGTGGTCAGGACTCCAACGAGCTGGACACTGTGATGAACCCTTTACCATTGTTCAAATGTTGCCCATACCCCCTCTGACTCAGTTCTTTTGCCTCATCATTCCCAGGAGGGAAGACCCAGGTAACTATAGGCCTATCAGCATAACTTTCATCCTAGGGAAAATCCTAAAAAAGTTCATCAAGGAGTCTATCGGCAATAAGCTTGCAGAAGGTAAGATTCTGAATGACAGCGAGCATGGCTTCATCACAGGCAGGTCTTGCCTTACCAACCTCATCTCCTTCTATGACCAGGTAACTCACCACATGGACACGCGAGAGTATGTGGACATTGTATACCTAGACTTGCAAAAGGTCTTTGATCTAGTATCCCACAATGTCCTCACGAGAAAATTGGAGGATTGTGGGCTTAACTCTGAGACAGTCAGTCAGTTGGGTGAGAAACTGGCTGCAGGATAGAACTCGGAGATTTGTAGTGAACGGATCTGTGTCATCATGGTGAGAAGTGGGCAGTGGTGTCCCATAGGGGTCGGTGCTTGGTCCAGTACTTCAACATCGTTATTAACAATTTGGATGCAGGGGTGAAGAGCTCACTGGCCAAGTTCGCAGATGACACCAAGTTATGGGGAAGCGTGGTCACGCTTGAAAATAGGCTACAGTTACAGGCAGACCTAGACAGGCTAGCAAGTTGGGTGGATCGGAACCTGATAAAGCTCAATGTTGAGAAATGTAAAGTGCTCCACCTTGAGACAAGCAACCCCCAAGACACCTATAGGCTTGTCGGCACCAAACTGACTAGCACCATGAATGAAAGGGACCTGGGGGTAATAATAGGCCACAGTATGAATATGAGCCAGCAGTGCAATGCTGTAGCTAGTAGGACAAATAATACTCTGGCATGCATCAATCAATGCATCTCCAGCAAAGCCAAGGAAATGATTCTTCCACTCTACTCAGCACTGGTGAGACTGCAGCTGGAGTACTTCACCCAGTTCTGGGTACCACACTTTAACAAGGACGTGGACAAGTTTGAGAGAGTCCAAAGAAGAGCCACCCTTATGATCAGACTCTTAAAAGGCAAGCCATACAAGGAAAGGCTGAGGGATCTGGGACTCTTCAGCCTGAGGAAAAGAAGGCTGAGAGGGGACCTGGTAGCAGCTTACCACTACTCTAGGGGAGTACATCAAGGGCTCTGTGAGCAACTGTTCACCAGGGCACCTGAGGGGAAAACCAGGAGTAATGGCCACCATGGGCAGCTGATGCTACCTTAATCAAGGGGTTATGTGCCCCCCAGTGACCAGTTAGTGACTGGGGTGGGGGGTCCCCTTGCTGCCAATCTCACCAACTGGGGGGATCCCCCTGCAGCAACACTTACCAACCAGCAAGCAGCTGTGCTGCTCCTGAAAGTGGCCGTAGCACTTCTGGAAGTGGTCACAGCCTATATCCGGTGCTCGCACTCCCTGGCTGGACTCACAGGGTGGGCACTGGTGTTCCCGCCTGCCCCCGACCCATTGCCTAAGTGGGGAGCGTGGCTGGTCAGGGTGTGCACCAGCTCTGTCAAGGGGTGCACGTGTACCCCCATGCACCTCCTACACATCACCACTGATGGCTACAAACTCCTGGAAGATCAATTCAGGCTCAACATCTGGAAAAGCCTCTTCACGGTCAGAGTGTCCAGACTGTGGAATAAGCTCCATCCAGAGGCAGTGCAATCACCTTACCCTGGAAATCTTCAAGAGGAGACTAGACAGTCACCTTGCTGGGGTCACCTGACCCTCAGTTATCTTTCCTGCTTGGTGTAGGGGGCTGGACTCGATCTGCCGAGGTCCCTTCCAGCCTTACAATCTATGACCGGAGGCGGCCTTTGGCACAAGTCCAAATTAGGCTCAAACACATGCCTTTGGAACTTCTCCCACTTGCCTTATCCATTCTATCACCCCCATTCTAGTCAGGTAGATTTGCATTTTATGTCGGTGTCCATAAACGTCTCTCCAGGCAGGAAGGCTGTTGATGTTAAAATCATCTCAGGGGGAATCTGCTGTCACTATAATGATGGGAACTAACCTTTTTGGCAGGTGTGCCACAAATTAGCCTTACACCCTCCTTAATTTGATCCCTTTCTCCTGCCTTAGATGCTGCTGTGCAGCCTGTCCCATCCCTGATCATCTGTGCACCACACACAGAGGATGCCCATGCCACTTGTAGTACCTGCGCTACAGATTGGCTACCTCTGGACTGTAATGTGATACTCTATAATAAGTAACTCGTGTTGTTATATATAAATCCATCACTTGTGTCATAAGGAGCTGCCCATACCATCAAAGGCCTCAGACAGCACAGTGATGAGTGCAAGGTAAGTATCTATACACAGCAGAAAAGTGTGTGAAGGCAAGTGTGGTATTCTGCACCATGGCCCAGCTGAGCAGCTGTGGTGTCTGATCCTGAGTAGTCAGTTTCAGATCTACGCCAGACTATGCTGTGTTTGAACTGGCTGCTTATCTTGTAAATACAGAACCTTTGCCATTTCAGCCATTTCTACCTACACTCCCCAAACCATCTGATCTATCTCACACATAGAGCAGGATACTCTATCAGTATGAGGATGACAGCCTGGATTCTTTCCTTTGATAAGTGACCATGGCAGGTTAGGAACTGTGGCAACAGCTGATATTACCGGGCATATCCCTACATAGTAAAGGATAAGTGGTGCCATAATGACAGTAAGGTACTTACCAATTACCACCATAGATAAAATATTGATTCTTCTACCTTCTCTGAGCCCAGAACTGCAAGGTTTAGTCCCTCATTTGCTTTCCCCACTGGCTGCAAAGATAATTGTGGCTTTGGACCTTGAGAATCTTGATTTGCCACGAGCCTTTTGGGTGAAATGGCCAGGAGTTTTGCACAGCTTGGGTGCTTTAAAATGTCAAAAGCAGCCTTTTTAACTCCAGGTAACACTTGTGAGTGAAGGGGTGAGTCTTACATCAAGGATGTGAGAAGAAATGTACAAAGCTGAGGGAGAGTGTGGTATTGTCAGTGTGTGTGAGTCCTGTGCATGTGGAAAAAGTGTGGCACCTAGAGATAGAATGATGTGTCTAGAAAAGGGGAAGAAGACAGGCATTCATTAGAGAGGGACTGTCCACTAAGAAGAGGCCACGGGCTGAAGGGGACCGTGGTCCCTAAACATGAGTACCGTGAGGGTACCAGGAGCTCATGCTCCCAACAGAGTTCAACCAGGAGTTTTTTACATCTGGTGTGAGGTTTCTGAAAGGTGTGCTCCCTTGTAAACCCCTCCCTCAGCTGGGGACTCCACGTAATCAGCTTGGCTGAGAAGCATTGCTAATTGGCTCTAGCTTCCTGTGGGTGTGAGTTCTGGATCACGAGAAGGCAACAGTGCTGCCTACTAATTGATATTAAAACCAGTAAAATTCCAGGTTAAGTCACTCCTCAGAGGGTTTCATGGAGCTTCCTTCCTTTTCCTTCAACCCAACAGGCTTCATTTCAGGCATTCCT